GACGACATTAAAGCAAGTTTATTTGATGTTACAATGGATTTAGTTTGTTCATTGGACTATTTCAAGTCATAACTTGAGTTTAAAAGTCGTCTTTATATTCCAGCGTTTTCTAGTTTCACTGTATATTCTCTTGCCGAAATAAGATATAAAGTCAGTCGTATCCTCTCCATAGCTCTCTCCATAGCTAGATCGTTGAGAAGAAAATTCGAAAATTTTTCTGAAACTTAGTTTCTGCATTAGATTTTCATAACTCAGGCCGGATGTGTCAGGGTATTTTTGAGGAAAATTATTAATAACTAAATGTCTCTTTGTTGTGAATACCAAAGGCATCATGATAATTAAATTAACGCTTCTCTTTATCATTTTAAGGACAAAACACATTAATTAGATTAACGCTTTTCCTTATTTGTGGCGGCTTGTTGAGGGGGGTTCTCTCTCCTTTTAAAGTTTAAGGGGGAAAAGAAAACAAAATTAGGGAAAAACTTGGAAGATGGATAGAGCATCTTCTATATTTAATTCTTTTAAAAAATACTTTTTAAAATCATAATTGGTGATGTTTCTTGGTTTAGTTAGTTTCTGGGTTGTTATTTTCTTCAAATTTTCTTTAAGAGTAAAAAACTGTTTTTTTGTGTATAAAGAAGAGAAAATGTTTTTCAAAAGTTTTATTGTAAACATTTTTCTAACTCTATGTCACCTTTTTACCCTAGAAAAAGATATATATAATCTAAAAACGTGATGGAATATTTAATAAACGCAAACTTTAACATATAGCAGTTTTATAGCCTTTGAAGTTTTTAAATTATACAAAAATATTAACAACACTTATCATAACGATGCAACCCAATCAGATAAAAGTTAATTGAGTTTTTTTGATATTTTCTTTCTGAAAGAAATAAAATTTGTTAATTATTTTCTTCCCTGGAAAAATTGTTTTGCCGCCAGAGAATCTTCTTTTTTGACAATTGGGACGCATATCATGCAGATCAAGAATAAATTGGATGAAAAAACTTGAAATCTGGGGGAAATTAATCTGAATAAGCAGGCTCGTAACCAGGATTTTCCCAAGGTGGGAGGGGGTGCAAAGAGGAGTGTTGAAGTATGGGCCCAGGAGCACTGAGTGAAACGTAGTAAACGAGGCGATTGGAGGCAGGAGGGCAGAACCCCCCTGCATAGAACATTTTCAGAATTTTGGTCTAAAATCGAGTAATTTTAGCTTGAATTATATGTTATGTAGGAAATTTCCTAATTTGTCAACTACGCCAGTAATTTAAGCTTGAACTTAATATTACAATGGAAATTCAGTTTTACATGAATTTGATGTTTTGTACGGCATTTGGAAAATTTTCACAACAAGAAAAGGTTTAGAAAACTTTTAATGCCAATATCACAATTTTTCAAGAGAAGATTATACCAAACAACTTATCTAAAAGGGGGGGGTTGCAAATTCGTCATTGCACCCCCTTTTAGGAGAAAGGCCACATCGCGGTCACACTACTAACACGTGGCAATAAAATTAAGCTTTGGAGAGAAAAAATGTTGGTCAAATTGGCATCTTTTCTTCACTGTACTGTAGGAAACTTTGAATGTAAGAGACAAGTGGTAACCATTTCCTTAGAATTCGTACCGTCGTCTTTGAAGTCTCATATTTTGGGGGAACCCTGTTTTATTTATTTTCTATGTTGTTTGTAAATTCTAAGTGAATTTTGAACAGAAATCACTGCTATGTACGGGAATGGAGAAAAGTCAAGAAATATAAAATATAGAAATTATTGCATTGATTTCTTTTATCAGTTAAACCCTCATTGAGCCATACACAGAAAGAATTTTAAAAATGTCGTCTTGACAATTTTTCAATGGGTTTTATACTATTTTACGTAAATCTCAGTATCTGAAAATAAATAAATAGCCATGAATATATATGAGGGAACAGTTTTAAAGAGCTCCATATAATCATTTAATTAAAAAAAACTAAATATCTGCAACATTCCATTATCAGAAAGTGAAGAATATACGACATTTGATGAATTCTTTCGATGTATGGCTTATTTAGGGTTTAACTGTATTATGTATGTTTTCTATTTAGGTTTTAGAATCTCTGGAGTCCTTATTTTCTATAATCCAAATATTTGATCTTTAAAATAACTTTAAAATTTAAAATCTAATATCTTTCACAGAACCAAATATAGTTCCACCAATACATGGTGCTTAGATTCCGTTGTATCCGCAACATTTTACCTTCCTGGTTCTCTGGATCCACTAAAATAAGCGGATCCATGGATCCGGCTCCAAGTGCATGGCAAAATATCAATCAAAAACTGCGAAGAAAAAAACACTTCTCACTTCTAAAACTCAAATCTAATTACTGTTAAAAAAAGAGAGATTATCAAAACCTTTCTTATTACTGAATGGTTTATCAAGTTTCAGCATTAATATAAACAAAAAATGAAAAAATTAATTAGAAAATTTTTCTTTTATTAAAAAAATCTGAAAATTTGATAGAATTTTACATGACCTGGATCCGGATTTGGATCCGGATTCATTTTTTTCCATTGTGAATCTGCAGGATCGGGATCCGGATTCGCATCAAAGTTAAATGAATCCTAATTTTAAATCCTAAGCACTTGTATAAAGTGAATTGAATTGAATCTAGTATTAATCTCATTAGTTCAAGAACTATANGGGGCATTCTGATAAGAGGATTTAGAAGTATAAACATGTTCATTTTTTGGGATCTTTAATTATTTTAAGAAAACAAACAAATTATAAATTCTTTAGTTTTTGTAAAGATTAAAAGAACAGCTTTATTTAATGATAAAACCTCTAAGTTTTTTAATATTTTATTTCAAAAGAATACAATTTGTTTTTATCTTTATTTAAAGGGCCTAAAAGCGTAATTTCAAGGGATACTTTATGCAAAGATGGCAATGCTTGATTTAAAACGGCACCATTTCATTGGTACCCTAATCTGATTAAAAATGAAGAGGATCAAGTCGGTTATAGTGTTTAGTTCTGATAATCTCTCCATCGTTTCCTATAAGCAAAAATGCGCAAGTCACTTTTGCAGAGAGACCAGAAATAAAAATAAAATTTAAAAACAAAACAAATAAACATAGCTATCTAATTCAAACTTGATCAGACATAGGTTTTAAGGGTACCGCTGTAAATCGGACATATTGCCATTTTGAAATTATGCTTACGGTTCTATTATTTTTTTCCACGGGCAACACCGGGCCCTCCAGCTAGTATTTGATATAATTTTCTAATTTTAAATCTGACATGTTAAAATTGAACCAAATATAGGTATTTGACGAGGTAAGGAAGGCAACCTCCCCCAAACAGCTTCCGAACCTCATTTTACCTATTTGCGACAGTGCGCGTCCCCATAGGGGTTCCGAGCCTCCCCCAAACAGTCTTCCAGGAACGATCTTCCATTTAAAATCTACTTAAAACGGGACTGATTCGATAATTTAAGCACGCTAGTCAATCTATAGTATCCTTAACATTTGCATAATATTTTTTTTTACAATCAAAGTTTGGGGAGAAAATAGCTATGTTTTATAGATTTTTTTTTTATCAACAAATCTTGGAATGGCTGGCGCTTTTTTATGAATAACTTTTAGTAATAGTTAGACATATAAAACAGTTTTCTTCATAAAATGTTGTTTCTAAAAAACATGTCTGTTTGTTAATTTTCTTTCTAGTTATTGAGATATTTAAAGAAAACAAAACTCTGTTATAACCAAATGATTTTAAAAATATTGCCGCCTTTTGTTTTACAGATTTGAATTACATATCGAAAGATACTTACATTTTCTTTCATTTGAGCATCGCTGAAATTGCCTTTTTTCATTGTTTAATGCATTATTTTGCAGGCAAATTAACTTCATATAAATAATACGTTTTCGTCTGCAAAACGAATTTCTGAAAGTTTATCCGTTTACGTAAATTTCTTTATTTACAAGTTCAAGGGATTTGAAGTTGTACAAAATTTCAAATATGGAATAGAAAATTATCAAGTTCCGAACGTTGAATGTGTTAGAAAGAATGGTCCCCATACCGCAAATCAGAACGAACACAAACACAATTTCAAACAAAATTTCCAGCCCGAACTTTGATTGTAAAAAAAAATATTATGCAAATGTTAAGGATACTTTATATCGATTCTTAAATAATCAAATTAGTCCAGTTTTAAGTAGACATTTTGACGATTATAAAAGGAAGATTCTTCCCGGAAGACTGTTTTGGTGAGGTTCCGGAGACCTCTGGGGACGCGCACTGCCGCAAATAGGTAAAATGAGGTTCGGAAGCTCTGTGGGGGAGGTTGCCTTCCCTCCCTGATTTGACTGGATTACATTAAGTGAATTGTATTTATACCTACCTAGGGTTAAACACATGCGCAGAATTGTATTTATACCCTAGATAAATTCTTTGTGAGATTTTGGAAATTCCACTTGTTTTACTCAGAATAGCACATCATATTTGAAATTAAAAATACTTCAAGAAAATATGTTTTTCTCTCAAATCAATAATTGCTTGTAAAATTCTGTATATTAACCAAAAAATCTTTTTTAAAGTGGAATTTTTGTTAGCGTCTAAGGCCTCAACTATAAACTTTATAAAATATCGAAAGACTAAAAATGGAGAATAATATCTTTAGAATTGATAATTCATTTATAAATACTTTGCTTAATGTCTTAAATTTGAAAATCCGTGAATACAATCTAACGAAAATGTTTACAATTAAAGTAAAAGATGGGCACGAAGCGCCCTGAAATCTTAGTATTAGTATGTTTTGATGAATTGGTGGTTACAAAATATTTCCTTAGAAATCTAATTAACCCTGTAAATGAAATTGATTGCTTAGAAAAATCTTTTTACTCTTAAAGATCCAGTTCTTTAAACAATTTAGATTTCGAAAAAATGTTCAAGATCGACCTCCCTTACTATAATATATGTGTATTGTGTAGCAAAACTCTCTGTATTTAATAAATAAACCTCTGTTCAGTACAAAACGTGGAGTTTTTTATTGGAAATTGGAAATAGTATTTAAGAAAAACATTTATATCCATTGCAAAAGAGATTGTAAACCTATTTTCAATTGACTCTTCAATTAAAGAGTTGCAGCTGCCCATTAAAACCTTTATCTGAGTAAAAATAAATATTTTGTTTCTGGAAAAGTGTTTATTTGAATTCTGACATTTTCTTTCAAGAGAGATAACTTCATAATATTTACACAGACAGAGCTGAAAAGGGTACTGGTGTGAATAGGAAAAGCCGCTATTTTAATTTCAGGGTCGCTTGAAATTTCCTCTACAGTCATAAATCAATTTTTATCCGTTAAACACCTTAAACCTTTTGTGTCCATGAAGTTGTTTTCTAGATTTGGAAAGTTAACTTGCTCATTTTCTGAATTGATTTTGCTAAATATAAATCCACATTGCTGTCAGTTAGAAAACCCGGGGATTGTATCCAAGGAGCATATTCTGATTTGAAACGTTATTGTGACTCTTAATTTTTTCAATTGAAAGCTAAAATTCGTTGATTGTCCCCTCAAACTATTTGTCTCGTGGGTCCAACCGGATACCAGGGAGGCCGCCATCTTGTTTTTTCTCTCTCCTCCTTCTCCCTCTCCTGCTCCTCCTCCTCCCTCCTCTCTATATCCTCCAACCAAGCCTGATATGCTAATTTTGCATTCTCCTCTTTCGCCTCCTCATTCACATTCTTCTTCGTTTCCTTCTCTTCGAAATTATCCTTTTCCTTTATTTTTTCTTTGTTTTTCAGAATTTCTTTTTTATGATTGGTCCAACCCTTGAATGCTGCGTCAGCATCTTTTCTTTTCTCTATGTCGTCTTCCTTCTTCTTTGCTAATCTAGCTTTCTCTTCCTCAATCTTTTTCTTCAAGGAATTCATTTTTTCTTCCTTCCAGGCTTTATAAGCCTTGTCTGCATCTTCTTTTTTCTTCTTTAATTCAGTTTCTGCTTCTTCGGCATCTTTTTTCTTTTTCTTCTTAAGTTCTTTTAAAGCTGTGAGTTCTTTATCTTTTTCTTCCATCCATTCTTTTCTCTTCTTTTCTAATAGCTCTTTGTCAACTTTCTTTTCCACAACTTTTTTCCCAGTTTTAGAGATAAGCTTATTTTGAAAAGTTTCTTTCTTTTTTTTACTCATCCATTTTTCAAATTCTTCTTTGGCCCTTTCTTCGGTTTCTTTCTTTTTTTCCTCTTCTTGTTTCCGTTTTACTTCCTCCTCCTCTTCCTGTCGTAATTTAGCTTCCTTTGCTTCCGTGTACTTTTTAAAATACCATTCTTCAAAAACTGCATTTTTCAAATCTTTTCTGATTTGGTCAAACTCTGATTTGTTCATTCCTTTCTGAATAATATTCTTGAGATCTGAGAAGGATTGTGATCGGCCGGCCAGCCTGGTTTTCAGGGTCGGAGCATTCACCTTCACTACCACCTGTAATATGCAGATTAAAGGGACTGCTCCAAATTCTGGATCTGGGGGTCCTAATAAATATTGGAATTGTGTAACAATTTCAAAATGGTCGTTAAAACTTAATTTTGATTTAATATTTGTTAATGCATACTAGGAAATTCGTTATTACAACTAGTTCATAGCAAAGACGACGTCGAAGTCGTCACTTAACTCCGATGATTATTGAGACACCCTGTACAATTTAAAATCCTACGTTTTGAACTCTAAAAAAAAGCAGGAAGCATACAATTTTGAATTGTGGTGGGCCAAAAAAAACATTCTCCATTTATCTACTTAATTATAGAGGTAGCTTAAAACAATTAGCGCTAAGATGTTTAGTGTGTTTTTCTCAATTACATTTGGTCCCCTGATGCATATAAAGTATATACTCCAAACAGATAGAATTAAAGGGAGTGTTGACTAATTTCAAGAGGACGACACCCACGTGTGCCAGCGTACAACGGTACAAGACTGTTTTGTCGGTATTTTCTCACAGAATTTTATTATCTATTATATAATACATGCTCTTTGCTCATATACGGGGGTAGGCGATTATATCAACAAAATATAGACGACTTTTTTATTTAAGTTTTAATAGTAAACAAGCTTCTTTATTACAAGTTTAGTAATTAAGGGAACCCATTTTTTTGGATGAAATTTCTTGTTTATTAATATGAGAAGTAGATAAGAATGCAGAAGTAATCATTTTTGTTTAAAGAGTTTATTTTTTACTATCATTTTCCTCATCACTGTAAAGCGTGTAGATTTGAGGACAAATCCAGTAAAATGTGAATTATATATGTGAAATTTTATTGCTAAGTAATTGATACATAATGCCAAATATTGTGTATAAAGCAGTGGGAAAACTTGTATAACCCTATCCTTCTTGAATGGGGGAGGGAGAGGGGAGGGGGGGGGTTGAATATCAGCCCCTCCTTTTGATTTTCTCTTTGTATAACTTAAAAACGGATTGCTTTAGAACACTAATTGTTTCTACTTTTGATTGAGAACAAAGTTTTATGTTCTTTACTGCATGTTGTAGGGTAAAGCTGAAAGCCGAAAGGAACGGAAATGGGTAAAATCTAAAACATATTAAAAATTTCAGTAAATTAACATATTTGAAAAGCCCTTAATTAATATGAAAATAAAATTTAACTTTTTGAAATTTTGTCCAAGCATAACAAGTACCTGAACCAACAAAATTAGGGGTCTAACAGTTGAAATAGTTTAGTGAGCCTTTTGATTTTTTTAATGTTTGGTGCATTTTATGAAGAACAATATGTTCCTTAAACAGGTTGAGTTTAAATTTCAAGGACCCATTTCTTTAAAGTTTAGAAACTTTAATTAAACCTTTATCTGATTAAATCGTAGAATACATCGTCGTTTTTCTAGTCTAAAAGGTGTTTGATTTGGACAATTTCCTTTTTCTCTCCTATTGCATAAATCCGTAAAACAGTAGATAAACTATGACACAAAATGATCAATTTTTAATTAGTAAAAGTGTATATCTTATTAATTCATGATCAGATAAAGCTTTTCAGGGTACCATTGTCAATCTGAAGTCATTTGAATTTGCGTATACAGTTCCTTTGACAAGAATTTTCTTAATACCTCTTGTGTTGTGAGTTTAGTCCCTTCTCTTCTACTAGAAGGTATATCTACTCCAACCAGTTTTAGACTAGCACTGTAGTCTCCTGTATAGAATAGTATAGAATAGAATAGAATAGAATAGAATAGAATAGAATAGAATAGAATAGAATAGAATAGAATAGAATAGAATACGACTCCAGCCAGTTTCTGTTGTAAATCTAGAATTGAGGGAGCTAGGGCCACTTGAAATTATACGTATACAGTCCCTTTAAAATAATGTACAAAACATCAAATTAGTCAAATAATTATGATTGTATACTCTCATATCTGGATAAATGGATAAAATTACATCAAAGTAACCGTATTTGACAATTATGTTCTATAATGAGAAAATTTAGTATCTTTAAGTGGATGGTCTTATTTAGTCTTCAATATGATTAAAGAGAAATCAAGAAATCAAATGAATATAATGATAAAGTTTTACAAAAGGAAAATGGCCAAATCCCGCATTTCTGAGTTGACTGGATGTGTCCTCTATAAAAATGGTAAGCTATAACTTACCAAAATCTTAATAAAAACTCTTTACAACATAAACCATTTCCCCATTGCAGCCAATAAAAAGAGATAATTGATAATTAATAATTGAACTTGTTATTCTAAGATGCATGATATTCTCGGAAACTTAAACCTTTTAAAAAGACCAAAAGGCCAAGACAGCACCCATTTGTAAATTGGCAGTATAGTACCATTGTAAATGAGTTGAGGGAATATACAATAAAACTTCAAATCATGTTTTGATTACTTATTTATATAGAAAATAAAGAAACAGAGAAATACTTTTCGTCTTTCCTTTTTCTTTAAACACAGATGCCGATAATTAAATGACTGCAGATGCAACTCTGAAAACATCCTGAGCGGTAATATTTTATATTAAAACTTTTTAAACTAACCTAGTGGCGCGGGAGGAATGACAACAGGCGTTGGATGGTTAATGGAGACTCCAGATTTTTTATTCGGAGCACTTACAGGTCGTCTTCTTCCCCTCAGAGGTAGGCTTCTGGGGGCTTCATTCTTCTTTAAATTATTTTCAGACTTTCCCGCCTTTTTTAGTAGTCCCTGCCTCGTGGGATTATTGTCCGCCATTTTAACTTTTTTCTTGGTGTAGCCTGCTGTTTCATTAGCTGTTGTTTTTTCTAAAGATATTCCAGATTGTTCCTCTTCAAGTTGGTCTGAACTTTTTCTTTCTCTAAAATCATATTTAAAGAACTTATAGTTATTCTTGTAGATATTTTCGAAAAGCTCTAAATAATGTGGGAAGGAAGATTGTGAAAGAACATGAAGAAAAACACCATTCTTGTCTAAAAAAATCTACCTTGGGGAGCATCTCTCTGATCTAGAAGTTGACGCAATCCAAGAACTTCTCTTGCTGGATAAACTGTTATTCTCCTCTTGTCTAACATCACCTACAGATTTCAAATATTAAAAAAGAAAAATTTATGCAAATTAACCAATTTCTTGGTCATTACTAATTACCAAGTAAAATTTGTAATAATACACAATGGTCACATTAATCACAAGACTCTATCAATAACATAAATAGTTATGTACACTGTACAGTTCTAATCACAAGACTCTATATCAATAACATAAAAAGTTATGTACATTGTACAGTTCTAATCACAAAAACCGGAATTAATTGACAATAAATCTGAAGACTTTTATCTTTAAATTGATTGTCATCTGTTAGTAAAACGAAAATATCCCTAATGCTGCGTTACCAAAATGTGGTCTGCCTTTTTTGTGCGTTCAATATTACAAGAAATATAACTTAATTGTTTGGATTCAATTTTATTTACGAAAATCATTCATATTTTGAATAAAATCATTCATATCTCCAGTGCTTTTGAAAGCACAAAAAAGGCAGACCACATTTTAGAATGCCAGGATAGGGCTAATTATTATCGTTCCATTAATTATATTTATAAAAATAGATTAGAGTGCCGGAATCTATTTCAAAGACTAATGTAAAGTCATCTGATTAATGTTAATACTACTAATATTGTACTCCCGAAAAAAATCTGCTTAGGCCAATGGCTTAAAATCAAAGTCGTTACTTAATTCCCATGTATGTACATACCTTGATCAGTGACTCTTTTGCTTCGTCTTGTACTGTGTGTACTCCTTGAACTGGTTGGGTTTGAAGATGATTTCCCGGATTTCTCCGGAGAAGAGTGGGTTGAGGAAAATGTACTACTGGAGTAGGATTGTGTAGAGGAATATTCAGCAGCTTTGGGAGGAGATCTAGAATGTAAAAATATGAACGATTAAAGATTTAAATCTAGAAAAAGTAAAAATTACTCTAATAATTGTAGTAGTTATTTCACATTATAGTTTTTTTTAAAAATATTTTCCTCAGTTTTTTTTTCTTCCATTTTTTCCCTATCATATGTGAACTTTTATTTAAATTCCATTTTTTTCCCGATTTTCTTTTTTTTCCTTTTTTCTTTATTTTTACTTTTTAATTATTTCAATGAATATGAATTACACCAATTGTACATTGAGCCAAAGTGATTAAATACTAAAGTGGGCCAAACTCATAGTTGGATGACGACATTTTATGTCCCAAGTATTTAAAAATAATATATATACATATACAGGGTGTCCCACATCATATAAGATCGTTTATAGTTCTAAATTTAGATTTAAGGGACTAATCAGAAAATTAAAAAATTTAGAAAATTAAAAAAATGCAATTTCGAAGTTCTAACTGAAGACGATATTTACATTTTGTCCCAACCTGTCGTCGTTGCCTTAGCCAGTTCCACTTTAGTATTTATTCACTTTGACATTGAGCACAGCTCTATTTCATTTTAAAGTTGAGTGTGAAGCTACTAATTAAACCATTTGCTTAATATTAACATCAAAGACACATAAGATTATTTAAATGTCGTCTTCCTATTGCACAATTTTTTTTTCAGTCTCGCTGTACCTGACCGGACTGGGAGAGGCTGACATAGGTCGAGGTCTCGGAGGTCGTCTTTGATCCGTCAACTCAGCTTATTAAAAATAAAACATCATGTAGCTGGGAAGTATGGAAAATGATTTTAAATAACATAGCTGAACTTTCTTGTAATTTTTTTTTTTTTATCAGATTTATTATAAACTATTATTTAGAATGAAGGAAGTGAGATTTTAAAAAGAAAGATCCCCCCCGAAAAAAAAATTGGGTTCAAAGGCTGAAATCCGCATTTTAAGGTAAATGTTTTGATCCCTTAATTGGTGAATTTTGAACAATTCATTTTCTGCTGTTTTGAAATGTTTTTAATTTGTATTTTTTTACTTTCAATTAAATTTTTTGAAGGAATAAATATGCTGGTTCTAAAATATTCATTTACAGGTTTTAATCTCAACTTTTTAATGAATGGTTAATCCATTAGACATTTTTAAGATTGAAAATGTGAAAAAAATCCCCCCCCCCACAAAAAAAACGATCAAGTGACAATTAAAAATATAACATTTTCTTGTGATCTACTTAAAATCACCTTTTGAATTTTTCCTACTGCCCGCTGGACTACATGCAGCAGAACTGAACAAAAGTGATTAAAAAACGAGAAAAAAGCACGTGATTTTTATCATACTTTTAATTTTACTTTTTCATATGATATTATTTAGATATTTTAATTGTAAATTTTTCTTTCTGTTCAGACAATACTAATCCACTTTTATACATATAATCTCTTTAGCCAAGCAAAATATTTTGTTTATACCGTGGACTTTTTCGAACTGCTGGCAGAGCATCCCTTGATATTCTTCTTACAAAGGGGGAATTAGGAGAAGGAGAGGGTGGGATAGATTGTCGCAGAGGCGAGGAAGGGAGGGACTTTCGGTCCTGGGAGGATGTTCTGGATTGTTTGACAGGAGAAGGGGGACAGGAAGGATTGCCGCTAGATGGGCGGGAAGAGGTGGCGCTAGGGGGCTGCGAATTGGTGGCGCTCGGAGGACGAGAGAAGGTGGCGCTATGAGGACGAGAAGGGGTAGCACTGGGAGGGCGAGAAGGGGTAGCACTGGGAGGGTGAGAAGGGGTAGCACTGGGAGGACGAGAAGGGGTAGCACTTGGAGGACGAGAAAGGGTGGCACTAGGAGGACGAGATGAGTGTGGAGTTGGTGGTATTGATTTCTCTCTCTTTAACACAGTAGTGGGAGGAGATGTCCTTGAGCTGCTTCGATCTGTACTTTGTCCTGTAATATCATGTTTTCAGTTGGCACGGATTTTCTCTTAAAAACTAAAATTGTATTTTTAGACTTGAACCATATCTCACAAATCTCACACACTGTTAATGCAAAACATGTTTTAAAATCAAAAGATCAAAATATGTAATACTTTACTTCTAAGGATTATTGACTAGAGTGGTAATTACTATCCCTCCAGTATAGTATTTATGGTCCTTTGTGGTAATTACTATCCCTCCAGTATAGTATTTATGGTTTAAAATTCGGTGATGGTGATGGACCAAACCTCTGTAGAGTAAAAAAGTAGATGTTAGTTCCACATTTATGGTCCTTTGTGGTAATTAGTATCCCACCAGTGGAGTAATTAGTGTCTTATTTCGAAATTATAGGAATAAAAGTACTGATTTTTTTTAAATAAAGAAGTTTTAACATCTTTTAATTATCCCTGCAATGGAATGATTCGTGATTAATTTCGCGCATTTTCTCCAAAACTGCTCATAGTTTCGTGGATCTACCAGATTGTCTATTAAAATTTTTTGAAATTTCATAGATATTTGTTAAAATTAGATTACCAAAAAGATCTCGCTATTCACCCTTTTTTGACCTCATCCTTAGACAATCAACTGTAAACTTGTGGAACACACATTGTGTGAGTTCTCTAAATACTGCAGGTTTGCGAAGAAGTTTTCGTCAAGATCCTTCCTGAATGATACTAAGAAGTGTGAGTTCTACCAACACGTGGAGAGAAATGAGAAATTTGTTGTGAAGTACTTTTTTGGACACCAACTAAATGGAGTAAGGTCCGTGCACCAGAGAAGTTTTTTACAACTGTCTCATGGACCCGCATACTTCATGGAACCTACTTAATTTTTACGTCACCCCTGGCCTATTTGAGTGTTGGCAGGTTTTTATTTTATGTCATCCAACGTAATGACCTCCAACAACGACTGTTATTTTATACCAACGGTTGGAATGCTAGGAGCAAGCAAGATTGCAATTTTAATTTGAATTGCAATCTCAGAAGTCAGAACAGAGGACTCTGCATCTGTTCCGTAATTAGTGACGCTACTCACTAAGCCACGGAGCTTCTCAAAAATGATTATTTACCATTATTTTTTAAGGAGACTACAGATTGATGGTTGAATGTTTGTTCGTTTTCTTAATTTAACTTTCAGCTTTTTTCATTTCATTCTTATACCTGGAGGGCATTTCGTCCACAAGTAGTTCTGCGTTTTACTCAAGAAAGTTTAAAAATTTTAAAGTTAAAAAGTTTTAAAAGTTAAAAAGCTAAAAATCGATCAAATATATTCTTTAAATGTGTTGATCAAAACAGAATTCAGTCGTTCTTCTGTGTATTCATGAAAATTCATTTAGTTAATTATACTTATTCTAGCAGAGCTTAAATGCAATATAGATATAAATTATATATATATTATATAATCTGTATAATATATCTGTTTATTTGCATATCTGATAAATAACTCATGAACCCTTCGACCGATTTGCCACACATTTTGTTTGCGGAACTCGGTAGAACAACAGAAATGTTCTTAGCTTGGTTTAAAAGTTTCGAGTTGAGAACTTAAGAAGCTCGACTTGTCTAGATATAACTTAGTTTACAGGCTAATCTGGGTTCCTGTACTAGTTCCTTATAAGTTTAGTAAGAACATTATTAAACTAATATAAATATATATATGAGGAAAAGATGTCCTCATGTCTATATATTGATAATAATATTCCTTCTGTTCTAAAAAAATCTCAAAAATGTTTGATGTATTCAATAAATTGAACTCTGAACCAAATTCTCTCTATTTTCGGAAATCTTAAAAATTTAATCCTTGGAATATTTTCTAAATATCTGCTGCAGGAATCAAAATTCAATTAGGTTCACAGATTAATGACGTAATAAATCTCAAAAAGACATGTCTATCTTTTCAACACCTGAAATTGTGAGTCCACAATGAGATATTGGTGCTCCAATATAGTGTACTGCAGACCCTCTACTCCTGCTACTAGCTGGGGGGAGCTGCAGGGGCGGAACCTATACATCATAAATTAATTTAAAAAACAGATAGGACACTAGATGTCGTCTTTTTATGATTAAAGTGTGTTTCGTTCACAATAATCCTGAGGCAGAAGCCCAAAGGAGTTACGCGTGGTCGGCGAAGAACAGGCTCTCTCTTTGTATTATTACAAGACAGAGAGGGAGTCTGTATAACTATACATACATAGTATATGCAGTACTATATGCAATCTATCTCTAGTAGACACCTAGAATACTTATATGTACACTGTACAGTGAGGGAGGGAACCCCCGGACGCCATGAGCCTTCGCTATGCAGACACGAACCTCCCAGATTTGCTGTGCAGTAATGAGCATGCGCAAAACATCAAAATGTGCCGTTTGTTACAGGAGGTTTTATTAAACTTATGTTTTAAATTTTAAAAAAGATTTTTTTTACAAATTTTTCGACTATAGTGTGGCATGAGAGGTTTCTCAAAGATGAGAAGTATTTATCAATTATTATAAAAAGTGCCTAATTATGACCAATAAACGTAACTTAATTTCATCTTTTATAATCGTTGATTGAATGTATACCTATTTTTAATTCAAATTAAATCTAGAAAATTTGTATCATTTATTTAAATCTAAGCATTTTTCAAAGAAAGGTATTGTTTTAATCAAAGATTACAACAAAACAAACTAAATTTTCCGAAATATTTCTCCAAACATTCTCCTTTCTGCTAAGAAATGTTAAAAGTTTTAGTATAAATCTTATATGAACCACTTTATGAGTCCGAATATGTTTTTTAATCATGACAATCAATAAATAACTCTAAATTTTAGTAGAATTCTTTTGCCACTTTGCCAAAAAATCTTGAATTTTTCATTACACATAAAAACCAACATTTAAAAAAAGCTGTGCTGCATGGCGGAGGCTCGTTTACTGCATAGCGGAGGCACGGTCTGGATAGCGGAGGCTTGGTCTGTATGGCGGGGGCTCGTTACTGCATTGCGGAGGCTCGGTCTGCCTAGCAAATATGGGAGGCTCATGTCCGGGGGATTCCATCCCTCGTATATACAGTATCGTACAATGTACCAAAACTGAAGGGGTAGGTTAAGTTTTAAACCTTTAATACAGTAACAGTACTGTACAATTTATTAGTAGGGCCTTGAAGTTTGATTATGAAGAAATTGTATTTAAATTCTTTAAGTACATCTTTAAAGCATCTAAATCCTGATTTAGAACATTGGCTTTGCAACCAAACACAATCTAATATAAATAAGAACTACTCACCACGGGAAAAATTTTCTGTTGCTGATTTCTCTCAGAATGATTTGAAGAACTGAAAAGTTTATTCAGATATTGTTTTGAATTGTGTAAGGATGCCGGCCTTAGTTTAAGTTAAGATAGTTTTCATGTTTCGTTGAATCATAAAGAAAAAAATTTGCATAATATACAAAAAAAGTTAAAAAATAAAAATAGTTAGGAATTCAGAGACAATTTAAAATTTAAAGGGCCTCTCGTCATAATTTCAATTGACCATCTATCTTAAGATGGGCATGTCCATACCCACAAGGGTACCCTCTAATCCATTATCTGATAAATTATGTTCTTGATTATACAGATGTTTTAGGGGAATAATTGTGATTTGCGCATGGAGGATCAAATGAAATTATGTTTACAGTCCCTTTAATTTTTTTATTAATAAAAGACGAATTTACGTGCTAAGATTTTCCAGTCTCTCCGCTGTCTCAATCAGACGAATGAAATCATCTAAAAAATTCAAGGTTAAAAATAGCAACCTCCCGTGAGTGAATATAAAATTTTGTAAACAATTATTTTAAATATTTTTTTCTTTCTTTCCCTTTATACCTTAAAAACCGATTTGCATTATAATTTGAAATGTATATATATATAATCACAAAACTTGTAGAGGACCCAAAAAATGCGTTGAGTAATTTCGCCCCATTCCTTCAGGATTTTTGGTATTCCTGATAAACTAAACTTAGAAAAAAATCTGCCAAAAAAGAATTAAAGTAAAACAAATAATTTTCACTACCTAACACTCTTCCCCCCATATTCTCAGAATATATCCGTTCACTCTGAAATATAAAAAAAATTTATTGTTAAAATCTTGCAAGGAAACCATGAATGCCAATTTTCCAGTTATTTTTATTTTAATTTAATTTTTAATTTTATTTGTTGGCTTAAAAAATATAAAGATTTCGTTCACATGTACATTCATGATCTATATATTTATACATCAATCATAAAAAGAAAAATTTGGATTTATAATTGACTAAAATAAAAGTATAAATAGACAAAAAAATTTTCAATTCAAATTTTCATAGATACTGAATGTCGACTTTTTTACCAGGCACAACTTTTATCTTTGATCTTGGGGTCATAGACAGGTTAAATATATAAATATGGATAAAAGGATCCTGATACGTCATTTTGAGACCGAAGGTGTTAAAGAGTGTCTTTACCGATTCACCAGAGTACCCTTGAAACCTTAATCTGATCAAAAATTTGGAAAGTATCTCGTTGTTGTTGCATAAAAAGGATAAAGAAAATATGACTTTCAAAGATACTGAATGTCGACTTTTTTTTGCCAGGCACAACTTTTATCTTTGATCTTGGGGTCATAGACAGGTTAAATATATTTATAAATATGGATAAAAGGATCCTTTTGAGACAGAAAGTGTTAAAGAGTGTCTTTACCGATTCACCAGAGTACCCTTGAAACCTTCATCTGATCAAAAATTTGGAAAGTATCTCGTTGTTGTTGCATAAAAATTGTTTAACTATGATAATTTCGCCATTTTCCTCCGAAGCAAGAAATGCGCGATTCCCTATTATAGAGAAAACTGAAAAATGAAAACAATAATTTTTCAAAAAAACAGTTGATTCATAAATACGCAAAGATACATACCCTTCATAAAATGTCAGAAAAAGAAAAGGATAAAGAAAATATGACAAAATAGTCCAAAATAAAACATAAATAGAGAAATAAGATAAAACAGTTTTAAAATGTTGAATAAAAGAACCTCATCAAATTTGTTAGAATTTAGAAACAGAATCCTCGTCTGTGGGAGGAGTATCATCAACAGTTTGTAAAATCTTCAAATATTGTGAATCTATTTGGTATCGCGAATTTTCAGTAACCTTTTCTGAGTTTTAACTCATAATTATTATCATTTTTTTACTCAAAATACGGTGCAGCTGGATATGATCTAAAACCAAAGGTATCGTATCGTTAATTAACTTCGGGCCAACCACTCAAAACAACCAACCCTGGTTAGGCGGGTCCAAACTGCACAGTAAATTGTGATTGCTTGTTTGTAATATCTCATTGTTTGTAGTTGAATAAATATATGAATATGTATGAAAAAGCAAGTGCTTTATATTTCTGAAATAGACTGGAAAAAAGTATAAGTGCGCGTGCTAGGTAAAATCAAAGGCCAAAGCGCTTTAACAATTTTAATTCAACCCAGTCTTGAATCCTTGATGGAACTTTTCATAGCAGTCTAAATCACAGACTATATATACAGACTGCTTATCTCCTTTCACAAAGTGTGCTACGTAGGTCTAAGTTGACCCGGGACGACATGATACGTTTTTACGTTAGGTTTTAGAGTGCCATTTCACGGCCCCATTCAGGGGTTAAGTTTTACAACTTTTAAAGAAATACTCCAATTTTAAACATGAAACATAAAATTCATGAATTCAGTCTTTTTTTTTGAAGATTTTGTGTTTCATATCCAAAGGATCCTTAAATATCCCTAAATACAGATGTTTGCAGATTGGTCGTGTACAGTAATTGTACGCAATAGAACATGCTGTGGAAAATATCGCATATTTTAGCTGATAATCGATCTCTGTAACTCTCTTATCTCTCGTCCGAATTTATGTGATAACTCGTATATTAGAAAAATAAATTATATGTATCCAAAACTTCTTGATGTAAAAAGCTTGAAATATGAAATATATTTGCAATGTCAATAAATTCATTTATTAAAATTATTTATGACAAAAAAAACATGTTTTGAAAACCATTGTTATTTCCTTGTTCAGTGTATAATTGTACGTGCACTGTACAGTGTACAGGGTAATGGTACAACAGGATTGCATACAAAGAAATAGACTTCAAGACAAATTTGCACAGATTTGATTTTTGGTCCTAATTCGCAAACTTCCTGTATTTCTTAATATTACTCTCTGCCTTTTCAATTATTTGTTTGAAAAAATGAAATAACCAAGTTGTGATAAAGGTATCCGCAGCATATACCCCTATATATATATAACGTAAGATGAAATAACCAAGTTGTGATAAAGGTATCCGCAGCATATACCCCTATATATATATATAACGTAAGATGAAATAACCAAGTTGTGATAAAGGTATCTGCAGCATATACCCCTATATATATAAAGTAAGATGAAATAACCAAGTTGTGATAAAGGTATCTGCAGCATNACCGGTTATGTAAGGTAGTTTAACTGAGTATGCAATGTTGTGGACAAATTCTTAAGGATTCATTTGCGACATATAAACCTTTTTTAAATATCTGTAAATCTTGAGTTTGTGCGCAAAGTCGACGTTCAAAATCGTACTTTTAGCATTGATTTATAGATTTATTGACAAATTTCTTTTGAGAAATATTTTCCTAAACATCTAATTAGATTACTGTATAATATTTACTTTATTTTTCGTCGTCGTTATTTAATAATTAAAAAAAGCGATTCTGAAAACGTATCCACCCAAATTCATGATTTTGAACTTCGACTGTGCACTCAAAATCACTAATTATACATCGTGGAAAATTTTATATGTCTTAAATGAATCCTAAAGAATGTGTCCACAACACTGCATACTTAGTTAAACTACCTTACATAGCCGGGCTGTCTCTGACAAGTTTTTCGTTGTCTCTGCTGCATGAATTTCTTTTCTTTGTAATTATGAAATGTAATGTTTTATATTTATTCACATAACTGTTAATTTCTTCTTTGGATGTGTTAGATGATATATCAATCCAAACTATTTGAACTTTTTATTTACATTTCTCACGAAGTTTGGCAATAATAATAACAAATAGATGAAGATTTTATGATAAATTAACTATAAATAGTTTTTGTCATAAAAAGATTCTAAGAAAGATAACTTATAATTTTTCCTTGCATCTACTTTAATTGTATATTTTAGTTAAAAATATAAAAAGCTCAAATGCTCTTATTTTGGTTGCATTACTAAAAATAATTCTGACGTCAAGCATCATAAATAATTTTTCATCTTTGTTTTGTAGAATCCAAAAAAAAAAGCTTTATATTCTTAGGGCTCGAAACAACCCCCTTCATTGTAATTATTTTAGTTTTTATATATTACTTTACCAGCATTTGCAACCTCTTGGTGAAACTAAAAACTTTTGATATATCAATTATTTTATGATAGAGACTGGCCAAAAATCTGATCTAAGGTCATGCAAGTTTCTAAACAAAGGAATTGAGTGTTTGCCACAAAATCAAACATTCTAAAGCCTATATCTTTGCAACCTGATGGTGTAAACCTTTGACATTTCAAACTTAGATTATTTGACATAACGGAAGTTATAGTTTGAAATATCTAAGGTCTACAACATTAGGTTTGCTCGGATATACGGATTAGAAAATCAGAGTTTGTGACAAAGATGCATTTCCTTTTGTCCGATTCGTTCAGCCTTTTATGGCGTTTAATTTTCACCAGACTGTAATTTATTGATCTTATTCGGCAATTTTTAATAAAAGACAATTTCAATCAAAAATGGAAAAATAAATAAGTGTATGTTTTTTTAAAGAGAACTTACAAGCGATTTATTAGAAATTAATTAGAAAAAAAACCAACATTTTTAATATAATTTAGGATATAACGTAGATACACAAATATAAACTCCATCAGAATATTTTTAATATAATTTAGGATATAACGTAGATACACAAATATAAACTCCATCAGAATATTTT